CTTATACTATTATCAAAAGTTTTCGTTCGTGACGGCGGCGCACCGGCTGAACTTACTTTTTCACAGCGGCGGCTCCTAAAAAATTCTTAAAATTATCTACGATTCCGTGGCGGCGGCGGCTCACTTTTCAAAAAAATCGGCGGCGGCTTAGACCGGCGGCTTACACCTCTAGTTATATAGTCTATAGTGTCCTCTATCAAACATTGAAGTATGGCAGTGAAATAGTAAAAATTCGTTTCAGAAAAAATTCTTGCATAAATCATTCAACAACCTGAATTTAAAACCAAAGGACTATAGCTCTTTAGTATAAACGTATAGATCAGATTTTGTTTATTGTAATATCTCATGTTGTACAAAAATTGGTGCTCTACAATATTATTCCGTTGAAACTTTTTCAAAACACAAACAAAGGATTGTACCAAAACTGTTACTTTCCATTGTACAGATGCAACTTTAAACTTTCTCACAAAATTTCCTGATACGACTATTCAATCTTACCCTAAAAAGGAAAATCTAATCTATGTGCCGAAGTAGCAAAAAATGTGCACTGCCAGTTACTGTTTCATCAAATAAAACATAACCATTCAATTCTAAAGCACTTTGGATAGCAGATTATCGGTTTTGTATCTTTCTTATTTCTTAACAAACATAAAATTGTTTCTTTTTTGTCTTTGTAAATCATTTTATCATGAATGTACAATAGAAGAAAATAAAAATTGAAGAATATTCTTTTAGAACCTACCGTCAAATGTAATAATTGAAGACTTGATCTTTATTGGAAAAAAACCGTTTATACTTTTTATAGAAAAGTCTATCAATGAATACAATAACGATAGAGTGAATAGGTATATAAGAAAAATCAAGGTAATGATATAATTAATTCAATTTTTCCGATAGATTCAATTACTAACCGATCAGTATATATGAATAAAAAAAAACAATAATACTTCATTCAAATTCAGCGTAAAATATTACCGATGAGGTATTTACCTAAAGAGAAAGGAAAACATTAAATGACTGTCATTATTAGTTTATTCTCAAGACGAAGAACTACGACAAAATCTCAACGATCGGTCGTAATTATGTGTCAATGTTTTTTCAAGAATTTTGACTTTATCATTAGAAACTTTGCTCGGATATTCTATATTTTCTTCTTTACCTGGACAAACAGTATAGATATGTTATAGTTTTACTTCATTATGAACTAGCTTATAAGTAAACTACTGGTTTACAAAAGTGATACAATAGATAAAATAGTGAAATTGAAGACCGTGAAATAGAGTAATTACGCTTTTGTAATGTTAATGAATAAGATTATTGATTAGGACATATTTACGAACATATGATTCTTGTTCAATCTACATTTATAAATAGAGAATCGCTCTCAAGAGCTGAAAAAATGAAAAAAGAATTACGTTAAAATGGTGAAATGGACATAAAAATTGGTCTGTTTCAATATTATTGATTAAAATGAACACATTCATCAATTTTATTTTTTGATTTTGATAAAATTCATTTTCATTCCATTTGATTGAATTAAATGTTCATTTTAATCAACAAAATTGAATAATATCAAGTTATATATGCATTTCATCATCAAAAATGCTATTTTTTCTGTGTTTCTTATATAAAATTCATGAAAGTCATGACATTTCTTTCATTTTATGATTACATGAGTTTACTATCATCAGTTTTCTAAATGGAAAAAAAATTGGTCCCTTGAGTTTCAACATTATTTTAAACTATATTTTAAAACAAATAAATCATTTCCAAAAAACAGCAAAAAAATTTAACGATGTATAATATAATACACATATGTAAAAAAAAAGGTCAATCCTTTCTATGTGTAAATTGGTTAGTGTTCATCTCAGACTATTATTATGCTTCAATAAATAATATTCATCAGAACAAATTATCCAGGAGAAAAAAAACTTTTATTTTCATTTATATCGATTTACACTTTGCAATTGTATTCATTTTCTTAAAGTCCATCTTTGTTGTATAACTGAATAAGTGTCTTATCGTTAAATTAATATTAACGTTTTGCAATCCGGCCGAGTTCTCAGCGTTCGGACAGGCACAGAAAATGGATCCGGATGCAAACTGTTATTTATTTAAAAGTATAGGAGTAAAAATTGGTTCAGTCTTAATAGAGCAACTTATTGTATTTTGAGAATAGATCATACTAGTCGAAAGCGGTAGGATTTATATAAAAGAATTTGTTTTTAATGAAAATTCTTCTACAAATGAACTATATGACAAAGTATTTGAGTACATGAAGAAAACAGTGAACTATCGTGATGCAAAAAGCATTCATGTATCCACAATAATAATGTTTGATACTAACATGTCGTCATTAACAGCAGGCAAACATACATTTGGTAAAATTTATCGGATTTTAGAAGCAGAAAGATACCAGGTATTGACTTTCTTATTTTGTGAAAATTGAATTGATCTCTTTTATGTAACCGTTTATGGAAGAAACTAAATTATATAATTTTTTTATATAAAATAAAATTTAAACAACTCTATTGAGACTAAAAGTATGTGGCAGATATCAATTGGCTTCAGTCCCGATGTGGTTGTGAAAAATCATGCCCATACATGATACTACTTAATATAAGTTAAATAGAATTGCTAAAATAACAGAATGATTACACGAATAGACTTGAAGCCTAACTCAACAAATAGATTATTGTATGAATAAAATTAACCATAAATAACTAATGAAGTTTTCTTTTTTAGCAAGGCTTTATTAGAGCAATTATTTTGTTCTCTTTAAAATGGCATTGTTAAAAATTAACTCCGACACAGTCTTCTACTATATTAAAACTGCTTTGTCCGAATTTTTAGAAATCTTACCATCATTGTTAATCTATAAAACCTCGATAAAAGAAAACTCCATTGGCTATTAAAATCATTATCTGAAATTGGACACGATTTTAAACATTATATAAAAAATAAATTCGTTTTTGTGAAACTTTTTGTCTTCCACCTTAGATCACTGCTTCAAATACTAGATACCATGAACAACTCATTGGTACTATTTGGGTGTCCGATTATAATAGTAAAATATATAAATTGTCATATTACTGATTAATACTATTCCGATCAAGAATTGTAGGCCTTTTATAGTCAACTAATTTATAATTGATTCTAACAAATACATAAGTAGAAAAGAGTTAAGTTTCGCAAAATTTCAATCAACTTTCAAGAATTGATTAAATATGTGAGTGAGAAGTTGTGTGGCATTTAGGAACATTCGATAGTGATGATATAATGAAATATCATATCTGAAAAAATTTAATCAATTTATTAAAAATATATTTACTCTTTATGAAGTCTTTTAGAAAATAAAAATAAACCATTCAGATAATTAAAAAGCTTTTTTTGACATAAAGATCAATCTTAAACGATGATTACTGCTTAATTGTTTTAATTAAGATGGTCTATTAAATTTTTTAGTAAATTAGATATAAAAACCTTTGTTTTCGATCGTTTTTGATAATGTGAAAGTCTAAAATATCTAATTAATGTACTAATAAATATAGAGTTCTCTGAGATAGTTCGGATGAAAGAATAAAAAAGTTCATATTGTTTTTGTTCGTTTTCAATTATTCTACATCATACAAAGAAAAGTATCTTCCATCCACTGAATAAACAATCTTTGAAAAAGTTTCTATTAAAAAGAAATAATAGCTAAAATAGGAAAAGTTCTATCAAACTGATCTCGATTATTCTTTCATCGAGATATTCTCAGAAGACATTTTGTATCTTTGAATGATATTTACAACGAATGTATAAGAAATCAGTATGCAGATAGAAATGCAAGATTTTTGGTTGTCAATCATTTGGAAAGTGAGGCCATTTATATATATATATAGGCTTTCGAAATTTGACTAACGAAAGAAACCGTTAGAGAGACTGAAATTTGAATTTCTTTTGTGTATTCTATTCCAATATATATGTTAAATATAGAGAGTATAGTATGTACGTATACTAAAATCTCCCATAGTAGAAATCTCTCTACAGTGGACACTTTTGAAAAGTCCGTAAGGTGTTCACTATATATTTGTTGTATAAAGCAAATATCTGAAAGAAACTTCAGTTGGTAGATTTTTATTTACAAATTATTTGTAAAATCTTGGAAATTTATAATAAGTCGTTCTATGCTGACTTATGAACCAACTAGACTTACTGCTAGACGTTTTTCATCCCTTGTACGCCAAACAACAAATAAATAAGTAGGTCTTTGGATTATTGATCGCTTCGAGGAATTTCATACCATATTACATCTTTAGATTTTCTGCAAAAACGTTCCTTCTCATATGATATTCAATGGATATTTGTTATATTTTCTTGATGTTCGTTGTTTTTCTGTTGTATCAAAATAAACATCAGATGCCCGAAGTCAAAATTGAATTATGGGGACAAAGTCGAAAGTAACATCTTGAATTATATGATGTCAAGGAAATAATTCAGACACGTCAGCTTCTATCACGATAAAGAACTCAAAAAAGTAAGTGTTCACTAACACTACATATGGTAAAAAGTACATACTATTTCGAATACACTACTGAGATTTTAGAAAGAAAACAAGTCAGGAGATTTCTGACTGGACACTAATCATATATTTTATTGAAATTCATAAAAAAAAATTTTGATCACAGTTACAATAGTGAATGTCATGATTATTTAGTCGATTTAATCAAAATCTATAATTAATGTCAGATGAATTTAATTCAATGTTCGATATTGAATATTTTTTATGTTTGTCTTGGTGATTTGCATTGAATATAGATGGATCTGCTTCGAGAGCCATTAACTGATCAATTGTCATCTTCCGAATAGAATCTTTTTTCCTCGAAGAATTTGAACGTAAAGATGATTTAGTAGACCTATTTGAATTATCTGATTTAACATTTTGACCACGACATTTTTTCCATAAATAAAAAATCGATCGCAATAATGGCACAATAAAAAGTTTAATGATAAGAAACAAAAAAGCAAATAGTTCAATGCATAAAGAAGTAAATAATAAAGCCTTAAAAATTAATACAGCTGTTCGAGCAATGGGTTGTTGAGTATTTTTAATAAAAAATGGACGTTCATCAAGCATTATTTGAATAATAGTTAATGAAGACGTATAACGTAAATAATTTCCAAATTCAACATAGTATTCTTCATCCGATAGGGACACAGTAGTGAAAGTTGGCGTCCATAAACCTGAATAATTAGTTTGATCTGATTCACTCAATGGATATGTCATATTGATGTTTTTAATAAATACAATTGGAATATATGTTATTCTACCAATAGCTTCATTGGATGTTGCATAAAATTGACAAAAATCTAGTTCTTTTAAGGTACTGCTCATACTTGTTTGACCTTTTCCTCGAATACATAAACGAATAGCACCAATCCAATAAGGACCAGTCATATTAATTTGTACAGTTGTCTCATGTCTCGGCATAGAAAGTGTTACTGATGTTGTCGCTTCCGAAATTAATCGTGTACAATTATTTGTTAATGAAACATATTTAGTACCACTAAGATTTTCTTGTGTAGTGATAGAATTACATAGAAATCCAGTATTAATTAATTCTACAGTTAAATAAAATATTTGTGCATCGAGAAGATCAAATATTGGTTGAGCGTCTTCTGACTTGGGAATATCAAGAAGTTCAAGACCACTAGAAAATTGTGCATTAATCAATGATTGATCACAAGCAAATGTAGCTGGTTCATTAACGTCTTCAACTGGATAACGTCGAATAAATGATATAGAAAACCAATAAGAAAACGAAACAAGAACAATAATAGCTAATGTTGCTAATCCACCAACCCACATTTCACCTTCACCAATTATATCTG